TTTACCCATTTCCAGGCTCTGAATTTCACCCATGAGGCTTGTTTCCTCCACAAACTTTATCGTTCGATAGTAACCAACGAGGTTTGGATGCACAACAGTGACTGAAATATAGTACTTAGGAACACGTGTGTTTATCAATGCTTCTCGCAATAAGCAAACACAACATTTATTTAAAGCTTTATTTTACAATTTCTGTGAATATGCCACATATCATTGCATTTTAACGCATCTAGGATTGAAAGTTTTTCCCCGTAAAAAAACGATCAACTGCAGATTTTTTGTTGTTGTTGTTGAAAATGCAGACATAAAACCCAACTCTCGCTGTCATAAAACAAGCCTGCTCTGCGATTTCATGCAAAACCATCTACCGCATCTTCTTTGGTTCTTTCGGTAAAGTCACGTAGAATGAGAATAAAATAATAAATTGATAAAATAAAATAACACAATAATATTCTCACGACGTTTCGGCCACAACACAAGCGGCCTTCATCAGGTGAAGGGACGAGACACAAGCGGCCTTCACCTGATGAAGGCCGCTTGTGTTGTGGCCGAAACGTCGTGAGAATATTATTGTGTTATTTTATTTTATCAATTTATTATTTTATTCTCATTCTACGTGACTTTACCGAAAGAACCAAAGAAGATGAATCATTGCAGTCACGAAAGCTTTAAATCGAAACATCTACCGCATCCTTGGCATGACATCCAAGAACACCTTGTTGTACGCGCGATATTCGCCAATTGTTTTGGATAACCTGAGCAGCAAAACGTGGGTTTCACAACAACAAAAAAACCCACATTGGCGTTTCCCGAAGGATGTTTTGCGCTTGCGGAAACATCAAAACCGCGAGCTTTGTTGCTCGTTAGATAACCGAGAGAAAAAAATTCCCCTCGAGTTGGTCTGTGTGAGGCATTTATTTGTCTCATGTAGTCGTGAGCTACATTGCTGTTTTATTTCTTTCACAGCATACGCGGCAAAAAGGGAAAACACTCGAGCATCTGGCAAAGTGAACTTCCTGAGATATAAGTCACACGCATTAACGTCCAATGACTTGTAAAGAGGAACGCCCGCCCACTGCACATGTGCGGCGCCGAGGCAAAAATTAATTTGGTCAGTGGGAAGAGATTGGAATGAAAACTAACACTGAGCGATACACACACACATACATACACACACATATATATAGACTACTCGTGCCTCATTTCTTACTAATTTTATAGAACACAGATTCATGACCTAGGAAATTGGTTATAAATGCGCCCGGCATCAATATTGTTAGTTTAGCTACAAAGTTCATATTCATAAAAAACGACAATGACAAATGAGGTCAGGAATTACGATCAATGTCAGATGCTCCATTCGCGTATTAACTCCAAAGCTCTGCAATCGTAGTGTTTTGTTCATACAGTAAGCCGTGTTTGATTGGGATTCGCTGACAGGTCCACGGGGAGGCATTCAAAGCCACTCAGCAGTAAAGAAAATAAAAATTGTTGGGTGTTGAAACAAAACCTTCAAACTTAAAATGCAAAAAGGTAGCGGTCGTTACGGTATGGTGCCCACTAAAACCCAATGCAAAACACAACCGAGGAGTAAAATTGCCACTTCCATTTGGCATACGTGGTTGGATTTCAAAATGTGGGTCTCCACAGCTGGCTAAAAAATAAAATAAAAATCTCTCCTTTTTGTCCACTTGACTAAAGCACGCACTATTCGTGTCAGCACCTTTGTGCAATATTGAGGTAATCTCACGACCGTGACCAAAAAGCCGCCCTGATCCCTAATCACATTTTCATCGCCTCTTCTTAATCCCAACCAAAAACAAAGTGGCTAAAGAATAACGAGGGGGTTTAAATGTGGGTCCTCTCGCATGAGCCCTGCCATAGCCACCCACGTGCGGGCCAGGCTTTGGCTGCGAGAGGTGGGAAGATTGCATTGAATTTAAAATGTAGAATGTTATTGGCCAAAATTCCTGTTTGGAGAGCAACAGAAATGCCTCGCGCGCAATGACAATTTTTTTTTTTGCATTCATGTCAAGTCTTGCCGTTTTTTCTTTCCTCCTTTGCAATCTGTTGTATTCAGCAGGGGTTTTTTTTTACGTCAATTTTCTGTAACGTACTGCAATGCATACAGCCATTTATCAGCCAAACAGTCCTCCGCGTTCTTACGGGTGTTGCAATTTTAAAAGTAATATACTGTAACAAATGGTCGGTTGAGAAAAAACGGCCGAGATGCCAAGATTATGCCTGAGTTCACACAAATACCAAGACAGAGATCCCCAGTATAGCCTTTAGCAGACTCTGAAGGCCGGCACGGCACACGAGGGAGTGGTGCGGCTAACACCACGCTCAGCCGTATTTGTCTTCCTCGGAGATGATGTTTACACACCGTACCAGTGGAGGCCCAGAGCCAGCTCAGATATTCGGCACTGATGTTGGTTATAATCAGGCATTGAATTCGGGTGACCGGGTTTGGAGCATAGTGTGCTAACCACTGTACTTCCATTCCACACGCGACACACAGAAACATTTAAATTTGCACGAAATGTGAAATATGCACTCTTAACGGAATGCATCCCAGACAGTAGTAAATACGCTATGCTGCCTCATTATCTTGGAAGATAAGTGGCTATTAGATCAATTTGAATGAAGGAGCTGAAGAGAGCTGAGCACAGGTTTTTGACTGGCTAGAGTGTTCAGACCAAGGGTCAAGGAGCGGCCACTGATGTGGAAGAAAACAAGATGAGGGTATTGTCCATCACTGTTCATAGTCCCATGAACTCTGACCTTCCCGAGTAGCATGCTTTAAAAAACGACAAAGGTCTGCGGCGTGCCCGAATAAAAAGGCAAAGAAAGTGTAACGAAAAATGTGACATGCATCGTCCGTTAGAGGGTTAAAATCGCTTTTTGAACCAGCTGTTTCAGTTGGACACATGAATCCCGATATGTGGAGATGTAAGTTGATTTATTATGTTCAAAGTAGCTGCACAAACACGGAAATATGTTATTGCTAAATTAATTGAAACGCCCCTTTTTTCACGAATTTAATATTTTGAAGGTTTTCTAAACGGGACTAATAATATTCAATTTCTACTACGAAGCAACTTCCACGACTCGCATACCCAGTAAACCTGGGTGCTATTTTGCGACCATTTTAAGTACACAAATTCTGGAAATTATTGATACACAGTACACATAGGTATGCGGAATAATATGCAGGATACGTCAGAATCCTCCGTTTAATTGTGCACACTGCAGAATGCTGAGAGTGGGCTTGGGCAGGACACACTCGCTGGAAGGGATGAAGGCAGGCAGTCAAGAGTAACATAGGAATGGCAGTTCAAGACGAGAACATGCACGATAGCATGTCCACCATGGAAATGGAGTGATGACATCAACCCGTGTGGAGGTGCAAGACCTATGTCTAAAGTGTAAGACAGTAAGATGGTTTTGGAAAGTATTGCTCCAACAGTGGATTGATCATGGCTGCCGATGTCAACGATGAGGTACAACAACAAAGTGTTTTATAGACAACGATCATGTGCACATTTTAAAACCACATAACAAATCGTATTGCACATACAAACATCATGAAACTACCAAACAAAGTAAAACATATCATTTTGACCATCGTGGAGCAGTAACACATTAATATTCCACCAGGATTACTAGGGATACATGTATATACACACAGGGCACTCTTGGTTGAGCCCTGTCGAGCCTAATGCACACCAGAAAGTACGAGTAGTCTTGTTTCATTGTTTAAAACAAGAAAATAAACGGCTCAACACAATGTACATGTCAGCCAGCTCAACAGATGTGGCTTAAGACCGTCTATAAATGATGGCTGGTAAGCGGTTTGGACTCCCCGGGAGTATAGTTTCATGGCAAAGTAGATATTTAAGCCGTTCAAAAAGTACCATAATCGGGGAGGGATGCTGTGGCTGGGTTGGGGAAAGATGGGGGAGGGTGTGTGGGCAGATGCCGTATCTTTGCACACAATGGTACGCCCATCTGCTTCAATGCCTCAGAAAGAAAATGCCCTTTGTGGGTTGCATGGAAGCTTGCCGGGGAGCACAGGTGTAGAACATTTGTTTGGAATGCCGTATTTTATGCAGAGGGTGAAAGAGGGGGTTAACACATTTCCCTCTTACCTCTCACCCTCACCTCGTGCCCCGCTCCTGCCCACCTCATTTGGAGGCAGGTTAATTTAAATGGAGTTTGAGTGAAATGACACCCAAAATTAGCCATTTCAACTGTAATACGTTCAATGCAGAAATGGTTTGAGAACTATGAATGACCATGCACTCTTTATTTTTGCTTTATACAGCTGTTACATAACCAGAAGCTTGAATCCATGAAATAGTGGCCTTTGAACACTTAGCCTCAAAGAAAATAAACCAAAGAACCTTCAATTGCTTTGCAATTAAAGGTTCTTTGTCGTTTGGTTAACATAGTTCAAAATATATTTACGATGTACTCTATTGTAATGCCACAGTTTGCTCTATTTTTCTAGTACATATTAACGTTCTGCATAAATAATACAATACTGGCAGTCGATGTTCCCTCTGCCTTGTTACTGCCTGTGCTACACCAATAATCGCCGCGTTTCCATAGCCCATCTTACTTTAACATTCCCCTTAAATGACGTGGAAGAATATTCAAATTGGCTCACGTTTCGGAAACAATTCCAGTACCAAAACGGTATTCAATATTTAGGTTAAGAAAATTATGCTTAGACCAGTCAGTATAAACATTTCCATCTCAAGCAAAAGTATGATTAATGAGACAAAAAAATGTTTTAAAGCACATTTAAAGAACAAATATGTTTTTCTTCCCAGCAGAAAGAATGGTGAAATAGTAAGGTTAGTAACCACACTGTGCAAGTAACTGGACTGAGATCGATATGACAATAGTGGCAACAATAGACTGGGAAAGAGACACGTAAAAAAAGGTGTATTATGCTTGCATTTCAATGTTCGCACGTCACACCTGACCCTTACCTGTGGCGTTGCAAAGGTGAACAAGCAAAGCAGCGGTATCAGCCCATCCATGGCTAGAGGACGTTCGCATAAGCACACAAGAGCCACCTGTCCATTCCACACCCTTTACACCTGCACGCCACCGCAACACAAACAGCGTTTACAATCGTCGAGCGACTCCCGTCATTACAGACGCGGCGACCGACTCCGATGCAAATCGCGCCGCTGGGCAGGCATACAAATTGGGTCGGGTGGGGACACAAATCAAAGTGGCTCGCGGCAGAAGAGGGCCAACCAAACGTGAGACTTTTACACTCAAAACGTGCACACAAAACGGTGTCATTTAAAAGCACCCGTCTTTGTTAACATAAACCAAAACACCAGAATACCGATAGATTTTAAAAGAGGGACAGAAAGAGAGTGCGGGAGAAACTCAATCCAAAACTTGCACATATTTATGAAAATTAACTACAAGAAATAGAAATATACAAAGCATATTTTTTGGGGGGTAAAAACACACGCAGGGCTTACAATGCTTTGTACTCAAGCCAGCAAAAATAAAACTTACAATTAATTCCTCCTCCTCCTCGTGGTTTTCAGCGTGTCCTGCGCGGACTGGTAACCCGGCCCAGGACTGGTGTCATATGGTACACGATTGTGAGACGTCTCTTCTGTAAATCAGGCAGGTATCAAGTAAGGGCTGGGTTGTCCCCCTTGATAGAGGAGGAGGAGACAACACTCGCCTCTATGTATTGTCTCCCTGCAAGCCCTGTCCCGGCTGAGAGCAGCACCAGCAAGAGAGAAGAGATCCTCCCCGCTGGGATGCTGCTGCTGCTGTTGCTTGCTGCGTGTGGTTGAGGGAGTGCAACGGGGCAGTGCGCGGTGTCGTTTCCTGCGCACTCAAAAAAAGGTTTAGCGGTTGTGGCTCTTTTGTGCAGTCGGGTTTCCGCGTTTTATTTAGCTCCACTTGCCCCAACCCCTCTTGTCCTAACCCCCCCCCCATCTCCCTCCCTCCTATCCTCCCATCCCACGCCTCCAACCAACCAACCAACCCCCACCCATCCACCCCCCACCAGGTCCATCTACCGGCCCGGAGGAATGACATACTGACGCTGCGCAAGCGATTGGTGGGTGAGACTAAACTGCAACGAGAAGAGTGTGGTTTGTCTTGTTGGGGGTGGGTGGGTGGGTAGGTCGAGCGAGCGAGCGAGAGGGGGACAGGCAAAGGGGATGTGGAGCCCCGCCTCGCCGGGGGCTCGGGAGGGGCCCAGAGGGCACGCGTGTGACTGTGACTCGAGTCACGCCAACTGAACACGGAGCCAGCGCGTGAGATGCGCGTAAAAGCGCGCAACCTCTGCACCGCAGGGCTTCCCTGAAAAGACTCCCCCAGTCACACCGTTTGCCAGTGGGTTTTGTTGTTGTTGTTGTTTTCAATGCTAATTCATTCTCGCTCGCATTCTCTCTCTCTCTCTCTGTCTGTTTTCTGGTTGCGCCGCGTGGTTTATTTTTGTTTGTGTGTTGGTTTGATGTACGACGTTTCACTCCGCGTGCTGGGTGGGAGATTCTCCGGGAACTCCACGTGCCGGGGGAGAGCGAAACGTCGGTCATCGTGCCAGAACAACACGCGTTACACCGCGTGTTACATTGCACAACCGCGAAAAAAAACCCCTATCCGGCAGTACCACTGGTTACACACGCTCTACGCGCCCGATGATTGGTAAACACGTGTAATTGTGCGCGTGTGCTGCATAGGGAGCCGCAGTGTATTTAATCGTGGGGAGCTACGGGCATGCCAACCCGAGTTCGATTCCCGCTCGTGGCCAATAATATTAGCGGGTATGTAAACATCGTCACTGGGGAGACAAAGGCGGCCGAGCGCTGTCGCCGGCTTCAATCCCCGCCCGTTCGTGGGCCGTCTCGGCCGAAGTAATAGGTGCTCGCAAACAGCACTTGCCCCATCAGTCTTTGAAAGGCTGCACACGTGAATGGTTCGCCTTTGTCCCGCGCGATGTTTTGAGAGCGCCGATTCAAGAATGCAACACCGGAGATGATGGTGCGCGCGTGTCCTTTACGTGCGGGGTCCCGCGTGACTTGTTTACCAACCATCGGGCGTGCGGAGCGTGTTTACGACCCTCGTTTTACATGTTAACTGGGCGGACGTAAACGTGGACAGGCGGACCCTGCACCCCGCGTCTCAACGCACGTGAGTGATGGCTATTTAGCGCCGGTGATAACGGCATTTTGGAGGCGAGGGTTGACGGATCACGCACAAGCTTTGTGATGCTCACCAACCCCCCCCCCCCCCCTGGGGTTAACACGTGGCCAAGGAGATGACGGGAAAGCAAGTGGATTCGTGAACCCGTCTGTGCGGATCTTTTAGCGTTTATCGGTTTTCCCCGGTATTGCTTGCTACTTGCCTCTCATACGCTAATAAACTCTTTTAAAAAATATGAAATTGCCCAAACCTGCTGGTTGCAGGATCCTCGTCAAAATGGGTCTTGAGACTCGGGGGAGCCGTTCCTTAAATGTATTACATATTTTATGCAGTCTTGTCAACTGGCATATACTACGAAGAAGAAATTCCCAGGACGGAAAGTCAACCAACGACAATCACCAAGTCCAATCATTATCGTCAGCAATAATCAATCCACTGCTGGTTGAAGCCATCCAAACCGTTGGCATCCCTCACGAACCTGCTTTGTACAGTACTAACGAAACAAAGATCCCCCGTATAGCCTTAACAGACATTTCGGGGCAAGTGCTGTTAGCGAGCATCTATCAAGGCCGACACGGCACACGCGGGGAGTCGCTTGGCCGCCTTTGTCTCCCTCGTGGCAATGTCTCACGCATCCAACCAGGCATAACATTTGGGCCGAGTCGACCTAGGGAAGTACGAACAATCCACCCAGCACCTCCACACGAGCTGCTTCCATCGCTTAATCTCACAGGACTGTGGTTAATGATGACCAAATGCTGTCATTCCGCTAAATTGACTTAAAATCACAACTCCCAAGTGTACATTTTTCCTCGGCAGCGCCAATGTCTGCCCACCGATGTAATTGACCCTCTTACTTACTGGGGCCATTGCGACATCCACGAGATCAATTGTCAACAGAGGAGACCATTAGAGGCCATTTGTATGGAAATAGCAGCTTGCACACAGCCGCGCACGTGACCAACACAAATGTTTACGATTAGCACCCGGCAATTATAGCGGTTTTTGTTAATCAGCTTTTTTAAATAACTTTTTTTTTTAGTGGACGTGTGGTTGGAGTATAGCGGGCCCGCAAATAGAACGCACCCAATTAACATCAGGGGTCGAGACACTTCTATGCTAAATTTCGACTTAAAGCTGTTGTGACTGCAGGGATTCATCTTCTGGGTTCTTTCGGTAAAGTCACGTAGAATGGGAATAAAATAATAAAAGAATAATTTCTTTTTATTATTTTTATTGCTAAATGGGCGCCACGGTGGCGATATGTTAACTACCTCGTCCGGTATACATGAGGTCGTGAGTTCGATCCCGACCCGACCCTGACGCCTGCAGTCACTGGCGGAGCCAGTGGGGGTGGTGTGGCACGTGCCCCCCCCCCCCCCCCCCCCACCCCCAATGATCCGATCGAAATCCCTAATTTCAGATAGTAATAAATCGGCATTTTGCGACCCTCACTGCCACTGTGTAGTATATTATTACGTGCCAGGGACTCTATGAGATGATAGGACAATAGTCTGAGTCCATAATTTGCAATAACTAACGGTAAAATAAGTTATAAGTGACTCACAGAATTGTGCGCAATTGCGTATACATCACACGATTTCCCTGAAGTCATCAACACCTTCAGCGAGTGCGATGCCGACCACACCAGTGGTTCGAATTCGACCCTCGATCGATGGCTGCGCCATCGCCGCACACGCGTCGATTAAAAAGCAAGGGACAAGTCCTTTACTTACTAACAACTCCTATCATATTCTTAGTTTTTTCGGTAAAGTCACGTTGAAGAGAAACAACAAAATAACAAAATATATATAAAACAATAAAAAATTCTCACGACGTTTCGACCATAACTCAAACGGTCATCATCAGGTGTGTCGGTTTGCATGGTCGAAACGTCGTGAGAATTTTTTATTGTTTTATATATATTTTGTTATTTTGTTGTGTCTCTTCAACGTGACTTTACCGAAAAAACTAAGAATATGAATTACTGCAGTCACGAAAGCTTTAAATCAAAACTCCTATCATTTTTCATAATAAAGGTTTTTGGGTTAGATCGCGTTTATTTATAAATGTGTCGTAACCCTCCACCACCCGACACGGCCAATCAGCAAAAAAAGTGTCACGTTGACAAAAGACAAATAATTAACTACTTTAGCCCACCGGTGTGTTGAAGAGTGAATCCACATTTACAGTTTGAGTACGACGTTTCGCTGGTAAATACATCCAGCATCATCTAAAGTAGTGAATAATTTGTCTTTTTTGTCAACGTGACACTTTTTTTGCTGATTGGCCGTGTCGGGTGGTGGAGGGTTACGACACATTTATAAATACACGCGATGTAACCCAAACACCTTTATTATGAATAATATTGGTCGCGAAAGCCTACGTGTTAAACTGTCCTATCATTTTTCATTGCTGGAGGGGTTGCCCCCCCTTACCTGAAAATCCTGGCTCCGCCGTCGCGCCTGCTGCTTTATATTTGGAGTTTGCGGTGTCTCTTTCCCCATGCTGGCGTGGATTTTTCTCCGGGTCCTCCGTTTTTTCTCCCTCCACATTTAGAAACGTGCGTTAAAGAGTATTTGGCCGCCATAAATTCCCACGTGACAAGCCACTTCGTTGAACTACCGTTTGTGACCAGGTCGCTTCTGAAATAGAGCAATGCTGTATAATCTCAGTGGGCCTTACCTGGTAAAATAAATAAAAAAGTTAAAAGTTGACACATGTCGCTCGAAAAGCATGGTGACCCGCGGTCAAGATTACCGACGGATTGGCAACGAAAGCATGCAACCCGCCTGGACAGGACACCCACCGCAGAGGGAGAGCAATGCAATCGGCTTGTGTGATGGAATGTTGCATCGACTGACCGTGGGTGGTGGCGACGGCTCCGGGGAGGTCCAGCAGTGCATAAATCATAGCTGCTGCTGCTGCTGCTGATGAGTATGATGACAATGCCGATAGCGAAGTGTATATATGTCTTAAATCAGTACAGGGTCAGGAAGGAACTACGTTCTGCAGCATACCTCAACAGATCATTCGCGTCTGGCGGGAGCGGTGACGCTGCGGTCTGCACACTCCCCCCCCCCTCCCCCCTACACACCTGGCCACCTGAGTTCCATACCTAGCCACGGCTATCACCAGTAGCGAGTGATATCTGAAGCGGTCCTCGCCTTCACTAACCTGCACTTAGCAACGCGAAGTTTGGCCAAACAAGTCCCATGGACTTGCACCTCCGACTGGCACGATGGGCTATATAACTGTGCGAAAGAAGTTATACTTACTTTTTGGTTATTTCGGTAAAGTCACTATAGGTATAAAATAAAATAAATCGACGTTTCGATCGCAACACAAGCGGTCGTCCTCAGGCGGAAAAAAATAATCCAGCAGTTGAACTGCTGAACCAGCGAGAGATCTGTTACAACAAGGTTATATACAGTATGTGGAACTGCTGCCACAACCACAACTCAGTTTGTATCCGTGTAGCGTTAGGAGAAGTGACAGCAGCAGATGTGAGTGTAAATGCGATCGGTATTACCTTGTTATCACCGCATCTCTTGAGAAAGGTTATACATACATACAGACACTGTTTTGGCGGGCGTTTATCCAGCAGTGGATTGACAAAAAAATAGGGCTATACATTGTTGACGGAAAACAACTTTGAAACGTTGTAAGGTGCTATCTTTCTCGACAGGTCCTCTGGCAAAATATGGAAATTCCACGTGCATATGGCGGGACCAGTACGTTTTATAACTTCCCATCGAAGATGTCCTCGCTAACCT